CCACACTTGTCTGCTTCTCTGTTCAGGAACTTGGACACCAGTGTTAGGTCGGAGAACTCGCCTTCTTCTGTTGTTTCAATGAAGTCGTACCATCGGAACTTGAGGATCGTAGGCATCTTCTCAATAATTTGTTTCACCATCTCAGGTGAATGCAGGTACTGTGGTTTCTTCAATCCTTTTATTGCCGCTACGCTGTTGCTGATCTGGCTCGCGAAGAGGCATATGTCCCTTGGGTTTTCAGAAATCTTCGGCAACGTTTTGACCTTGTCCAACTCTGCCAGCACCAGTGCATCTGGTCTTCCATATCTTCTTCTGAGGGCTTGAATCACTTCCATCGGAGAGGCTTCGGAGTACAGCAGACTCTTGATAGCTTCTCTTGCGTTGCCCTTCAGTGCTCTTCTTAGCCGAGCCATATTCTGGACGTTGTTGAACATCGGTGCTGTATCTTCATAGACAACCTTGAAGGCCATCCACTCGCTGCTGTTGCCGTCGAAGTAGGGTAACTCGTGAATGTAGGTTGGCTGTCCTGCTGGTCCTCGCGTGGTAAGAGCTTCCTTCAATGCTGCCGTCAGTGCTTGAATTTCAATCGTAGCTCCTCTCGTTGAGGAGTTCTCTTCAGGCTTCATCTTCTGTGGCTCTTCCAAGGGGTGTGGACCTCGCATCTCTGGTTGAACTTTGTTGCCATCCTCCAGCACAGACGTCTCGATCCAGTTCTGCACCTGTGCTGTTCTGTCTTCCAGGTCTTCATCCACGGAGTCCTCTTCTTCACACTGTGCCATCTCCAATCTGACACGGGCTAGCTTAGTTTCAGCCTGTGCTTGCTTCAACTCCAGGCGTGCCAACTCTTCCTTTGCTTCTAGCTCGCGTCTTCTGGCCGAGGAACTCGTGGTCTTCGTGGACCTGGCGCGACGACTGACCCCCATCGGTTTCAGGGTCTTGGAGGAGCCTTGAACATCCTTTCCAGGTACATCTTCTTGGCTCTTCCTGGTCATCCTCTGTGCAGCATCTTCTTTGTTGCCTTCCATAGACGCCGCCGTAGTTGCAGTCGTAACCGTAGTCTCCGTCACTGTGGTGCCCTCCGTGGTCGTGGTACCCGAAGAAGTGTTCGATGTAGTTGCAGTTCCCGATGACGCCGACGCTGACGTGACCCCTTCTGATCCCGACGTTCCATCTGTCGCGTCCCTATCTGAAGGACGGGACCCGGGACGTGAGGGGGCATCCTTCTGCGACCTGGTTACCGGCATCTTGAACGCAATCTTCTGTTTCTTCTGAACTTCTTCTAGCAGGGATCCGGCTCGAAGGACCAACTGTTTCGGACGACCAGAACCAGGGTATGTCTAGTACCCGGAGGTCGACCTGGGACAATCTCCCAGACGTTCTTGGCGTACACGGCAGTATGTCCGTTCGCTGGTAATGTACGCCACCACGCACCCCTGAATGCGTAGCTTGGGTCCCGATCCACTAGGGTTTCTTCGTTGACAGGAGACTATACTTAGAGGCGATGAAATAAAAACACAATTTTTTCCTTTTTTCTCTCTTGGTTTCGGTTCTTCCTTTTCCTTTTAGTTGTTGCCTCTTCGGTGGCTGTCTTGCGACTGACTCGAATCGAGAAATGGCTCGCCTTTTATTTGGCCCGTTAATACCTTACAGAGAGCCGCGTACTTTGAGCTCATTTTTCGAATAAAATTTCCCTAAACCGAAACCTTGAGAGTCCTTTTATTTTATGTTTTCAGTAAAACACCTTACACATATTTATTTATTTACATGCCTTACATACTATTATACAATATTAAAACATAATATTCAATATATAATAATTAATTAAAAAAGTCTTAAAACAAAAATATCTAAATTTCTAAGTTGCTACATTTTTACTATACATTTTCCCTTATAACTTTTGAACGGATAGTCCTATCGACCTAATTCTTGTTTTATTATAAGTTTTATAATAAAATCTATTATTTAAAACATAAACTATTATGCTATTGCAAGAAACAAAAAATCTCATTTTCAAGTTACGTAATTATATGCTAACATTTTACTTACGTACCTATTCCTTTCAAATTAATGTTAAATAGTCTTATATGATTCAAATAAGCAAAAAATACTCTAAACTAACCTTATTACACTAATTAGAACTTATTTTAACATAATAAATCTAATAAGAATGAGATTTCATATTTACAACAATTATTCATAATACGCTAAAATGACATTGTCCCTATATTAATACACACGTTACTCGAAGATAAGTTTTCCGTCGCCGACATATATATATATATATGTCTGGGAAAACGCGTGTTTTCGAGTTTTCATGCGGTTTTGTTTCGCATTATTCCAAGCAAAATATGGTCGCCAATTCGCACGCTAGAATATTTAGATCGTAGTCAAGCGGCCAAAACGCAAGTTTGACAACCACAGGTGTCTGGGTTCGTATCCCGGTAAGATATAAAGATGTTTATTGTTATTTTTATTTAAGTTTTTAGTTTAAAAAAAAGAAAATTGTAGACCAAAAACTTCGAGCGAAGCTGGTTGCCCAGTTACTATTTTATAATATATAATTAATACAAGATATGCTCATTGAATATTATGTAATAATATATGTTGGGACATTAACATACAGTGCCAGCTAGTCCATGATAAGGTACGAGGCTTGTGTTATGGATACCAGATAGTTGATAACTTTAAGTACCTAATATAAACATCCCCGACTGGAGTAAAACTTCGTGCTCATCACACAAATTAATACCCCCAGTGGGACTCGAACCCGCGACCGCTGGCATAGCAAGTAGGGTCACTAGTCACTACAAATTGAGCCAAATGTGTAGTCAAATAGTATAAAACATATATTATTTACTAGCGCTCCGCTTTTAAAAGTTGTATGAAATATTAGATAGCTTATGTGTGCGTGTGCGTGTGCGCGTGCGCGTGTGCGCGTGCGCGTGTGTGCGCGTGTGTGCGCGTGCGCGTGTGTGCGCGTGTGTGCGCGTGTGTGCGCGTGTGTGCGTGTGTGTGCGTGTGTGTGTGTGCGTGTGCGCGCATGCATGTACGAGTGTAAATAAAATGTTGGAGTGGATGTTTAGGTAATATCATCGAATAAAGCTTCTGCTTCTTCATAATTTAATTTTGCAAGCCAGGCAGTTAGGGACTTTTTAGTTCATAATTATTTAGCAAATATATTTTTATCATACCATTCACCTTTTTGTATATAGAAGCTGATTTCTTAGCAAACTGATGACTAGCAAATTTTTACAATACCTGTTTCTACTCTAATGTTAACTCGTCTTTTTGTCTTCGTGTTTATATCTATAGTTACTGTTTTATGCCTCTGTAGTATTAATTGTAATATGTATATCTTTCTCACACTTAGTAAGTTGTTAATGGAGTATGGCTCTTTTGTAGGGAAACGATATGGTTTACAGAACATAACTTTTAGTAAGGCCCGTTGACTACGTTTTAATTCTAGGAATTTAATTTTTGATGCTCCTCCCCATACTGGGATGCAGTATGACAAAATTGATTCAGCAAGAGCTGTATAGACTTGGTTTAGAATTTTATTTGTTGCAACATATCTTAAGGTTATAAAAATCCAAATAAGTTTTCTAATTCTGCTTGATAGTAGTTCCAGATGGGAATGCCAAGATAATCTTTGATCAATAACTATGCCTAAGTATTTGATTGAATCTATTTTATTAATGCTATGACACATGCAATTTACACTCTGATCCTTACAGTGGTGTATTTGTAATTTTGATGATGTAGGCTGAGTTTTTTATTTATTGAGAAATATATATAATTTGATTCATGTGTGTTTAGTGTAAGAACGTTAGATTTAAGCCAACTAGATATTTTTCTTAAGCCTATTTCTGCAGTAATATGAACTTCTTCCCATGTTTTGCCATGAAAAACTATAGCAGTGTCATCTGCATATGAATAAATATGCCCATTTTCTATTTCTAAGTTACATAGGTCATTTATATATATTAAAAACAAGGTAGGTCCTAAGACACTACCTTGTGGAACACCGAAGGTCATTTTGAGGTCATTGCTTGTATAGTCTCCTATTTTTACTCGCTGATTCCGATCACTTAGATAATTATCCTTCATTAGGTTAAGCTGATTTTCTCTAATACCAATATTTTCTAATTTAAAATTTGTTATGATGATAGCTGGTTATCCGGGTCAACATATAGGATACCTTTTACTGCGGGTAAATATCTCATCTCTGCGAAATCTATACTAAACATTATTATATTATAGCTTTATATATGAGTAAAGATATATCATAATATTATGATTAGTTAGAGTATCACAGATAAATTTGAATACAAAAACATAAATAACAAATCAACGTAAACTAACATAACAATGTTGTTAACATATTAATCACGTCAATTAAAAATGCCGTGTTCGTAATTAGTGCACTATTCGTGTCACCAGTTCCCACAGGCCCTGCCATTTATTTAAGTGTCCATTCGATTGGTGTATATTTTTAGCCACACAGGGGTCAAAAGTATTTATTATCCTCATTTTCTTTTTCAGATTTTTTTAACTGACTTAAAAAAGGTAATATGTTAAACGCGTATATATTTTATAGTTGTGTTTCTTGATTTCTCGGTGACAGCTTTGTCGATTCCCAAGACTAGTTAAAGTAGTTCCATTCCTTTACGGTACATCTCGAGGTTGTCACATATGATTTTATATGCTTTTTACTCGACTTTTTGAAGAAAATCATAAAAACATTGGATAAAGTTTATTTTACTATATTATATCAACTACTTACTAAAATATTTGCTCTAAATTTCGCAATTTCCGCTCGCTGTACTATTTTATTTTATTATCGAGCTGATCTGATAATATATAATAGAGCCAGAAGATAAATAGTGGGATTTATTAGTGACTACTATTAAACCCTTCAAGTTTTAATTTTTCCTCACAAATATGTATTAACTTTTAAATTAGTTACATGGCTTTAATAAATATATAAAAAGACTTTTTTATTCCACATCCGCTATTTTAACGCCTACAGGAAAAACATTGATAAATTGATTTTATAGTAAGAAAAATATAAACGGGATTTTTTATTCACAATGAATATCTAATAAGGTGTTTCTGGAGTCAGTCAGTACTATGCTCCTCAAAAATAGCGTAGCTTTCTATTATTTATACATCCAGAGATTATGGCTTAAAAAAAACTACGTTTAAAAAAACCGACTTCAAAAATTAAAAAGTATAAAATAACTTAATAAAGATTTAATTTAATACACCTCTTATGCAAACGTAATACCTTTAATATTAATAAAATACTATAACATATATGTATGTGCTACGTATTGATAGGTTTGAAGTTGGTGCCAAGTAGTGTAAGAGTAGGTACCTACACACGCCGCGATCTGAGAAATCTATACTAAGTTTTCAACCGACTTCAAAAAGGAGGAGGTTCTCAATTCGACTGTATTTTTTTTTGTGTGATTGTCTTCGCGAATTCTTAACCAACTTTCATGACTTTTTATGAAATAGATCATTTATTACCTACCTCAAGGATTTCCATTCCATAATTCCGTTCCATTTAATAAAATATCACAAGGTGATTCGATTTAATAAAATAATGACTACAATTTCTCACAATTATATACATTATATTTAAATAAATTAAATACATTAACTACATTTAGTGATTTAAAAGTCGGTGTAATAATAATTACGTCACTTTTAATTAATTTTTAAGTAACGAAAATATATATTTTACTAGCGGAAGCCGCGGCTTCGCCCGCGTTCGATCTACAAAAAAATACTCTTTTGCTTTATGTTATATAGCGACTCACCTTCGCTTCTCTTGGATTCGTCCCTATGTATTTATTATTTGGATTATTAAATGTTTGAAATATTAAATTATTTGGGGGGATGATTTCCGGGATAAAAAGTATCGTATGTCCTTTCCAGGGTCTCAAACTCTTTTCTTACCAAATTTCATCTAAATCGGTTCTGTAGATCCAGAGATTACCCCCTACAGCGTCACAAACTCACGAACTTTACCTCTTTATAATATTAGTATAGATAACGAAAAACAATGGAAACTGAACTTTTTGAAAAATGGTGATATTGAAACAGATTGTTAAATTTCCTGCATTTTTCCGCATAGAATATATAAACAATAAAGAAACAACAAACAATAAATTCTATTATATTATATGAGGATTGACATAGGAAAACATTGAATTTCTATTTGTCTCATGACAAGCTGTTATTATATTTATTCACTAGCGACTCACCCTCGTTCCGCTCGAGTTCGTCCCTTGGTACGTTGTAACACATAGCATAGATTTCTCAGAGTTGAGATATTTGTCGCAGTAAAAAATATCCTATATATTGACCAGGATAACTGGCTATCATCATACCAAATTTCATCAAAATCTGTCCAGTGATTTTCTCGTGATGCGTTTCCCAACAGATACACAACAGACATATAAAAATTCTAAAAAGTATGGACTCGGCCTCTGTATTGATAATAACGACAATTTCAATAAGATTTTCCAAAAAAATATTTAATGTACATATTCGACTCAGAATTTTATTATATGTATAGATATAGTATAGCGGGCGTAGTTATGTAAACAATACTTCAAATACACGAAACGTTCACTTTGCTGGAATATTACGAGATAAATATTGAGTATAGTTTACTTCATAATATTCTATCTACTCATGATGAATTCTACTGGCTTTATTGCCGGTTGACGCCAACAACGATGACAACTTATTTGTAGAAGTTTTTTTCAAATATTACGAAAGTACATAAAAGATGTTTCTTTAATTTTTGACTCTGAGTTAGAGAAATATCTACTATCAAAAGTAACTGAGATTTTAAATGAAACTACTTAAGTGTTTTCGGATTATTTCGCGGATTTATTTAGATTTTTGGTTCCCGACGCTTCGAATGCTTTACAATAAGCATAATCACGGGAAAGACCAACGTTTTAGAGCTCTCAAAGGCATATATACTTATTACAGACAGTGCCTACACACAATTTTACAAAAATAATTACAAAAATTCAAAAATGGCACCAGAGTACCTTACAATATTTGTTGATTTTAATTCTAATAGTAACTGAGGTATTATACGAAAAGAAAAGTATATTAAGAAAAAGAGGAAATGTGCAAACAACTTACAACTTACCTCTAAAGGGATGACGCCGCAAGTGACACAAACATCAGCCACAGCAAGATGGGTCATAAGGAGGTCAACTCTAGACCTCCTTCGTCTCGAACCAGCCAGAGCTACCAACACAGCGACATTGCCAATCGCACCCACAGCCATTAAAACACCGTATGCACCTAAAACTGCACCCTGCTGTCTACCTGCCACTTCCTCCCAAGTTATATTCCTTTCATCTGCCATCTCGAAATATTCCCAAAATTGTCGATCTATCGCTGAAGTCGATTCCAACTTTTCAAAAGACGAGTTTGTTGACATTTTTTATTATTATCAATTTATTATTATTTTAATTTCAATAGTTTTTGTTAAAGCATCCAGTTATTTATTAATATTTATATATAAACACCACAAACTTATAATTCTAAAAACTTTATGAAATTTCTTTTTGTCTCGAAAAATATTTTATTCCGTAAACAATCAACAAAGTTCTTAAACATCACAAAAATCTTTTTCACGTTACAAACACAATGCTGGTAGAACCACTGAATATTTTAGCCTAATTTTAGAATAACATTAAAGTACTTTCGTAGAGCTTTCATTGTTACGTTGCTCGGACTTTTTGAAGTTTGGAGCACGATGAAACTGCGTCTCGCGTCGAGTGATATCAACGACTGACGCTACGCTGCTACGGCTCGTAGCTATACCGCTTACAAGACGGTTACCGTTAAAATAATTTATCGCCAATTATTCTCAAGATGAAGCAGGTTTCTATGGAAATTAATATTGTTTCTATACTTATATAATTATACATATACATACATAATTCGAGCTTATGAAGCTTAATATTTGGCTGAAGAACTGTATGTATTTCAAACAATTTATAATGTTTGTTCGTATGTGATTTCTAAATAGCTACATTGTGTGTTGAGTTAATCTATGTTTAATTGCACGATTTTAAAGAATTTTGAAATTTTGTCTTTCTTATTGTAAGAGCTAATTTTGAAACTGATTTCAAATGGACTTCTGCGCGGATAGAGAATTGAAATGAATCGAAGAGAATCTCATTTCTCGAGTAAAAATAATATATTTGGGGACACAGCAACAAGTAACGGGACGTCTATAATTGTTATTTAGATGATTTTATAAGAGTAATATTAAATACTCGTATATAAGCCAAATGGCTATTCTCAAGTGATGCGCTTACAAACGAAAAACATTTAATTTTTATTTGTATACGTAGATTACATATGGAAATTGAACAGTGCATATTTTCGTGTAGACAATAAAGTAACAACTATAGCTATCGTATACGATTCCTGCAGCTAGAAGTTGTAAAAATTGGTAAGTGCGAATATTACTCGCGTACCGAGGATCCTGTATTATTTACCGATCCGGAAGTGCTTATGTTTACTTAGCTAATATAATTTAAAAAAAAACTAAAAAATATTAATTTATTTTATCGCCAGCAAAAAAAGTTTATATTTCATAGTATTTATCAGCTTTTTCCGTCCACTAAACTAATAAAACGTGTAATCGAAAATACTTCATGTTTCAAAATTTATGGAGCTTATAATATTTTCGCTAATACAATTTCCGTTGGAATAATTTTATCAGCGCTGGCTTTTTTTCAAAATTTACCGGCTTATACATTAAAAATAAGTTGGTATAATGTTAAGTACTTTAAAGTTTAACTTATAAAGGACTGTAACTTAACATAAACACGTAACTTTTGACTTACAGACAAACAAACATCCATCTCATTTTTAAAGACATATCTAAAGATCTGTATAATATATCTATTTATACATATTTTCTGCCTCGGTGGTGTGGTGGCTAGCATGTACGACTGCACACCCGAAAGTCCTGGGTTCTAGTCCCGGGTCGGGCCAAGTTTAGTTATTGCGTTTTTCTGTATAGTAAGCTCAATGATAGCCCGGAGTTGGCGGTGTTATACCCCCGAGCCTCGGAGAGCACGTAAAGCCGTCGGTCCTGCGCCTTAACTCTCACCGGTCGTGTCGAGCGGTCGTCCCACCGGAGTATGAGAGTGACAGGAATAGAGAGTGCACGTTGTGTCTGCGCGTACACCCTTGCACTATAATATCTCCTGCGGAGTTGGCTAGTCTCAATCAGATTGGCCGCCGTGACCGGAATCGGTCAGGAGGACATTATTATTTATACATGCTTGAGTCAGTATTTCAAACGGATCGGCAAAAGTCTAACATAAACGGACGCTAAAACTGTTGCCGCGAGCGAGGCACCATATAATTTTACAGCATTTATAAGATAAGACGATGTAAACGCAAATACTACCTTAGAAACAATTCTCTTTGAAGAATTAATATGATAAGAACCAAAGTACAATGTCTATTATTCTTATTTTATTTTCTTATGCGTGATAATTAATATAGCGTTATTTTAGTTTTCTCCACAAAAATAATATTCGAATTTCTAAATTGGATTTATAATACTTAAGGGTATTATTCATATTCTTAGTTTAAAATGTCGATTTATGGAAAATTTACAACTTTAATCACAAAATTCCTCGAAAACAACATCGGCGGCTCCTATCATAAACAACATTGCCACATAAAGAAGACATCATCTATGATCTCAACGGAAATGCTGACAACGTTTACACAGGAGTCTAAGTAAATATGTGGTCCTATCTATAACTATTATTATAAACTAGCGACTCACCGTCGCTGCGCTCGGGTTCGTCCCTGAGTTTTAAGGTTAGTATAGATTTCTCAGAGATTAGATATTTTCCCGCAGTAAAAAGTATTCTAAATGTTGATCCGGATAACCAACTATTATAATATCAAATTTCATCAATATCTGTCCAGTGATTTTCTCATGATGCGTTCCCAGTCAGAAACAGAGACCAAAATTCTAAAAACTATACATTCGGCCTCTGTATCGATAATAATGACTAATTCAATAAGATTTTCCAAAAACAAAGTAATTCTATAGATTCTACTCATTTTTTAATATGTATAGAGAATTTTATAATATGTATAGATGTGAAAGTTAAGATGTTTGGAATATTTGTTACTCAAACACGCCAGAACGGCTGAACGGATGGATCTAGATGAAATTTGGCACAGGGAAAAATTAATTATAGTCGGAAATAGCACATAGGGTACTTTTTATCCCGGAAAAATATACGGTTTCTGTGGGATAGTAATAGTAATAGAATAATAAAAAAATATAGGAACGACTTAATATGTTTCTATGACAACAATTATTTTTCATTACTTGGGTGCGGTAATTATTTTTATCTTTTGAAATGTACTTTCCCTAAGTACGTTTTAAATAGATAAAAATAGTTATTGTGAGTGTAACTTAGAAGATGGGCATTTGCTATTGCGGATTTTCGTAGGCCTTTTTGAGATGTACAATTTTCTAGTAGGTAAATAATTTTGATGTATCTATAATACTTTCTTAGATTTACGCGAAGGTTTGACATTTTTAAATAAAAGTATCTTCTCGGATTATTTCGCGGATTTATTTTGATTTTTGGTTTCCCAAACCCAACCAACCAGGTTTGGGAACCAAAAACTCAAAATAAATCCGCGAAATAATCCGAAAAGATAGTTTTATTTGATGTATCTATTTAAAGTTTAGCCAGCGTTAGCCATGTGTAAGGACGACTCGACAAAACCAGTTATTGTGTTTTCCCGTGAAAGGTTTTCCTGTAGTAAAAGATATCCCAAATGTCGACCCGAGTAATGAGTTTTTGCATGAAATAAAGACAAAAAACAAGCAAAGAGACCTACTATCAAATAGACAAAACATTATATAACTATTGTTTTAGAGTCTATATTCTGAACACAATACGCACCTAACAGTTATTGTTTTAAAAAAAATATTTCGGTTTGTTACTTTTTTAATATGTGTATAGACAAGTAACGAAGCTCCCAGCAAATGTGATTGTATTATATTGTATTTCTCCGCCTACATAATAATATATACGAGTACTTCGTAAACTTGTTCCTATATTTTTAGTTCGCCTTTTACTCAGTCGGATTTTTTTATTTTTGTAAATTATTATACGCATAACGAAAAATGGTCCCTATTCGTAAATTTATATGCAAAATTCAGCATGTTTAGACACTCCGCCTTATTCACCATGCATCACATCATATCACATCAATTTAGTAATATAAGCTCCGAGCTAGCCAGACCATCCGATGCGTCCCGCCGTACCATCGACGCCGCTATATGTGTCCCGATTGCACTGGTCTATGAAGGTGGAGGATGTCGTAGACTATGTCCAGAAGAGGTCCAACTTCAAATTGAGAGTTGAACGGCTGGTACCTCGCCACAAAATGAGTTTTAATTCGATTTGGTGAGAGTGCCGACTCATCATCTGCCAACCTTCATGAAAGAAGACTTCTGGCCGCAGGGCGTCGTATTTCGGAAGTTTCGAGGTCGTTTGCCCGCTGACACAGCTCACACGTCTGCACTACGTGTGAATTAGTTATAATTAATATACATATATATGTTAGGTTTAAGGTATATATTATGCTATGGGCCTCTGTTTACATATTTAAGATCCTTATGTAAATATTGCCTGAAGTAAATGATAAAATAAAAAAAATAACGTCATACAATCCATCTTCTTTCAAAAGCTCCCGAAATACAGACTTTCTATCGGGCCCTCATAAATCTCTATCTATAAAGAATATATCAAAAGTATTTATTATAACTCACCCTCGCTCAGCTCGGTTTCGTCACTAGTAGGTACATTTTCACGCTTAGTATATTTTTCTCAGAGATGGCATTATTTTCCGCAGCAAAAAGCATCCTATAAGTTGACTCGGATAACCAATAGCTATCATTATACCAAATTTAATCTCCATCCATCACACACATCCATTGTATTTCTCGTGATGCGTTCCCAGACAGACAGACAGACAGATAGGACGGACGGACGGACAGACAAAAATTCGAAAAACTATAGATTCGGCCTCTGTATTATATATAATTAATGTACAGATTTGACTCAGAATGTAATTATATGTATAGATATGATTAATTAATTTAGCAGGTGCAATTTAGTTTCGAGTCAATCGCTTGTGTTAATTTGATTCTTAATATTAGAATACAAACAATAAACAAAAAAAAATGAATGTGAACATTAGTATTTTTAGCTAATAATTGAAATCATAGACAAAGACTTATCTATACATATGATAAAACTGTAGAGGTCGAATTACACACATTCGACAAAGAAAAAAAATGCTAAAACCCGAGTCAGTAGGATGTAAGAAGAGAAATAGAACAAATGTAGTTTGTTTTGTTTCTCTGTTTGTTTTTCTGTTTGTACGGGCTAATCTCCGAAACTGTTGTACCGATTATATGAAATTTTGCATGGCGGTACCTTATATATCCGGTCAAGATTTTAGATATTTTTCATCCCGGAAAATAAAGAGTTCCCGTGGGATAATTAAAAAACTATAGTAACTTATACAGCTTAGTACACCGAAACTACTAGTTCATACATCAGAATAATAAATAGGTTACTTTTTATTCCGGAAAAATATACTGCTCCCGTGGGATAGATTAGTTTTGTTTATCTATAAATCTAGTCTATAAATAAAATTGGAAGATTATTGTTGTGCTGTGGAAACAGTCTAATTTTTTTACACCAAAATTAATAATTCAAAATGGCACATCTGTGACATGCATAACGCATCCTAAGGCGGTTGTTAAAGTATGACAATCATTTAACGACAAGAATAAGTAATTGTAAATTGTCGTGAATTTTCGAATACTAGAATGTTATTTGTTTATTGTCACAGCACTACTGAAGATAGTGAGGACATATTATTATCATATCACTGAATTAATTTTCTTGTTGAATTGTACATATTTTAACGTATAGGAATTTGATATTTCTTACATTTGTATTTAAGTTCATAATTCCTTGGCTCAATGCCAATAACTTGTTAACTGTGGATCAAGTAAAGGTATAGTTTCCATTCCATAGAAATCGTAAGTAACGGTCAGACGTGTGGACAAACTCGTAAAGGTATAGGCACATCTACACTTGGTGGGAGATGAGTAAGAAACAATGCATATGTTGTTAAATAGTACTTATTTAGGAAGCAAAAGAGCTTGCCTACACATGTTATTTGTATTATCATTTGGTGTAACATTCTTTTATACGTACTTTAAGCTGCAAGAGGTTAGAAGAAATGGTAACGATTTTATATATGTGAAGCAGAAAGATAAAAGGTACATATTACAATGGGAGCTGAAACGTCATTCGCCCTTTGAATCTATGGCGGTGGGTAATTTGGCGTTTGTCAAAAATAAATGCGCGTATACAAATTGTTACGTAACAAATGACACCAGTTTTCTTGACGAAAGTGAATTTGATGCGATCGTCTTTAACGGACGGGAAGTTCAAGATCTTCGTTATAATCAACTGCCAAAACGGCGGTCACCAAAGCAAAAATATATATTTGGCGCTATGGAATCTGCTGATATCTATCCTGTATGCGACAAGATATTTGATGGATTTTTCAATTGGACTTGGACGTACAAAATAGATTCTGATTTCCGATGGGGATACATCACGATTTACGATTTAGATGGTAATGTTGTCGGACCGGCTGTCAGCATAGAGTGGCCACGAGAATTGGAGCCTGTCGGGGAAGATATTATAAATAAAGTGTCAAATAAATCTAAAGCTGCAGCTTGGTTCGTATCGAATTGTTTTACTAAAAGCGGAAGGGAGAAATTTGTAGAGAAAGTTCAAAAAGAATTAGAAACATACGGGTGGAAAGTGGACATATACGGAAATTGTGGCCCATTAGACTGCCCTAGATCAATATCGCATACTTGTTATAATCTCATCGAAAAGGACTATTACTTTTACTTTGCTTTCGAGAATTCATTTTCCGAGGATTATGTGACGGAAAAACTTATGATTCCCTTAAATTATTATTCTGTGCCAGTCGTTTATGGTTTTGCAAACTATTCCAGGTAAAATCTTTAGTAATATTATAAATAAGTAAAATCACTTATTTTTCTAAAATACCTGTGCGAGTATGAGGATCCCTGATTTGATCGTTATTCATCCCTAATCTTTTATAAGTTTTAAGTGAAGGTGCTACTTATTTCCTTACTGTTCACTATAGAATAAAAGTGACCTAATTATTACTAAGTTTATTATTACACTCCACGTTCAAAATACTCCCCGTGATATTTCCGAATCTACTTACTCAAATTTTATAAAACTACCCATTGAGTGAGGTAGTCTTTCAAAATATTGTGTGATTCAGCCGTTATAAAAGGAAACAAGTGCGAATGTTTATGAAATTAAATAAATTCGTAGTTGTCAGGTAATTATCTATAACTCAATTCGTGTGGACCAAAAAGTAGGCATAGTAATGTTACGTCGTCTACGTATCACACTGATAGCATCACAAATCATGTATTCCTAATCAATAGCATTTTTAAAACAATACTATTAAAGTGATATATTGTTTATTTCACAGATTTCTGCCACCCGGAAGCTACCTAGACGCAAAGAAGTTAGGACCAAAGAAACTAGCGCATCTAATGAACGAAATAATCAGCAACAAGAGTTTATACCACGATTTTTTCCGTTGGAAAAATCATTTTAAATATAAGCTAACTTCATTCAACGAAGATATTTGTAAGTTGTGTGAAATGATAAATAATGAAGAGAATATGGCGGAAGTGACTGTTTGGAATGACTTTAGAAGATGGTGGAATGGCGCTAGGTACAAAGAGAACTGTTAAAACTGTTATCTTGCTATATCTACATATAATAAAACTCTGAGTCAAATCTGTACATTATTTTTTTTTTTGGAAAATCTTATTGAAATAGTCATTATTATCGATAAAGAGGTCGAATCTATAGTTTTTTAAATTTTTGATTGTCTATCTATCTGTCTGAGACCGCATCACCAGAAAACCACTTGACAGATTCTGATGAAATTTGGTATGATGATAGCTAATCATCCGGGTCTACATAAATTACACTTTTTACTGCGGGAAAATATCTTATTACTGAGAAATCTATGCTAAATGCTAAGACGTAACTAGGGGCGAACCCGAGCGCAGCTTGTGTGAGTCACTAGTGTTTGATATAAAAGTTGTCAAACATAAGAAACATTTGACAATACTTCTCACATTAAAAAACTATATTAAACTAAATTATGTCAATAATTTAGTTTTTTTTATAAGCAACAAATTCTACCCCCAAGCTAAGAAAAAAAATTTTTTTTTCAATCCACCCTATTGTATAATATCAATAAAATAATTTATAATTTACTGATTTAGGCGCTAATATTTCTACCGATTAGCTAAAAGTTTCGTCGGTTATGTTTATTTGCTTGGATAGAAATAGAATTCTATTTAATTAAGGTCTTCTCTAGATTCTATTTAATTAAGGTTTCAAGTGTGTCAGTTGGTCACAGATTAAATCGTCCATATCACGAAGAATGCAGAAGACACGAAGGAGTTTCTTTCATTACTTTTTTATTTTAATTGACAGCCGTTACGTTGGCAAAAGTCAATTTAAATTTGACAAATCTAGTCATATTATAGGAAATAATTAATGTTATATTAATATGTTGCTTACTAAATTTTATTTTTTGAACAGACGTGCTAGAATAATCATGTTCGTAGCAATAGTATTTGGTATTTCTTTATATTATACATACAACTATGACAGGAAGCAGAGAGACAAGTTAATATTAAAATGGGAGTTGAATCCATGCTCACCATTTGAATTTTTGGAAGTAGGCAACTTGGCGTTTCTTAAAAATAAGTGCGAATATAAAAACTGCTTTGTAACAAAGTACAGGGCGTTCTTCGACGAAAGTAAATTTGATGCGATTATTTTTAATGGGAAGGAAGTTTATAATTTTCAGTATAACCAACTACCCAAACGAAGGTCACCAAAGCAAAAATATATATTTGCCGCTATGGAATCTGCTGATAACTATCCTGTCTGCAACGAACTATTTGATGGATATTTCAATTGGACTTGGACGTACAAAATAGATTCTGATTTCCGATGGGGATACATCACGATTTACGATTTAGATGGTAATGTTGTCGGACCGGCTGTCAGCATAGAGTGGCCACGAGAATTGGAGCCTGTCGGGGAAGATATTATAAATAGAGTGTCAAATAAATCTAAAGCTGCAGCTTGGTTCGTATCGAATTGTTTTACTAAAAGCGGAAGGGAAAAATTTGTAGAAAAGGTTCAAAAAGAATTAGAAACATACGGGTGGAAAGTGGACATATACGGAAATTGTGGCCCCTTAGACTGCCCTAAATCAATATCACATATTTGTTTCGATCTTATTCAAAACGACTATTACTTCTACTTTTCTTTGGAGAATTCATTTTCCGAGGATTACGTGTCGGAAAAACTTCTGACAGCCTTAAATTATTATACTGTGCCAATAGTTTATGGTTCTGCAAACTATTCCAGGTAATATTATCAATTTAATCGTAGATAACTTAGTTATAGGAACGTAAAAGGTAGTGTGCAAAACAGATTTATATTTCACTATTTTTCCTGCTTCAGCGTACCCTGAACAGAGCCGCTAGACCCTGTTTGCGTGTTAGGTAGTAGTGGTATTTGTCGGTAGAATGTAAGTAGTCTATGGGTGAGACCATGACATGCTATTTTCGATTTCACTTGTACTCATCAAGAAAAGATCAGTCATGCCATCAATTTATATTTCAAACAGGGACGTCGAGTATTATACATTTGTCAATAAATGTTACCATCAACAGAGAAGTCAATCGCTTATAATAAAATATCTTCTAATTTACAATAAAAATTGGAAACGACTAATAATGTTAATTCAAACGTAAACATTGGTTTTCTAATTTCAATATAATATACTTTTATCCTGTAACCTCTTTAGGAGATGAATTTACAAAAATCTTTACATAATGCTCGCTTGTATTAGATAAGCAAAGTTGTATTTTATCAGAGCGGTCTGCGATACATTGCCTATAAGCGGTAAGGCATATGCCTAAGCGGTCTAAATCTAATACTCATAGTTAAATATTATGGTCAGTAAATCTTATCATATGTGTATTCTACAGATTTTTGCCACCAGGAAGCTACGTAGATGGAAGAGATTTGGGACCAAAGAAACTAGCACAACGAATGAGCGAAATAATAAGCAACAAGAGTTCATACCACGACTTCTTCCGTTGGAGAAACCATTATAAATATAAGGAAACTTCATCCACAGAAGATATTTGTAAATTGTGTGAAATGATGAATAATGAAGAGAAGATGGCGGAAGTGACTGTTTGGAATGATTTTAGAAGATGGTGGAATGGCGCTAGGTACAAAGAGAACTGTTAAAGCTGCTTATGTAATAGATAATAAATGTATGTCTATAGACAATAACTGTAGTAGGATGATTATTTTTCTAAAATTGGCCATACACATTAGCCTTTATGCTTACAGAAACGATTTACCTTCGTAGTTACTTTAGCATGTAAGGCTACCTATCTTAAGTAACAGATATGCCTTCATGGATATTAGTATTATTTTTAAGTTAGCTATTAATTTTTAATAAAAAATATTTTACTAACTCTTGTACTCTATTTCAATTTAATAATAAGTATAAGGAGTATGTTCACTTATTTTTAATAATATATAATTGATGTTATAAAATTGAAAGTTTATTTTTTGTTTGTTCAAACGCGCTAAACTTTATGTTTATAATATCTATCGTCACGCTCAGAAAAAGAGCGGAGCAACCCTCTATCGTACAGTGTGTGGTCTAGCGTTGTCCTGAAGCAGAAGCAGTTAGAGCAATTCACCAATCTCGGTTTTTTACGGCTAGCTTTTCCATCGTAGTTTGCAATTGTGGACAAAACAGATCTGCCGTAATCGTCTGGCCAGATCTTAGGAAGCTGTAGTGGATGACGCCAACACTGGTCCACCAGACACCAGTTTCACCAGCACACCTTTATCAAAGACAACTTTTGCTTGGGGCAGGATTTGGTGGGCTCTCCTGGGTTCAATATAACGCAGCCAATGTAACTCGTCGCGTGTTGGTTGGTGTGTATCACGCAATTCATGCGGTACCCATTTATCAAGTTTTTATTTTTCCAATTTATTTCAAATGAATTAAAATTGTTTTATCAGTCATACTGAAGTTTGCCGCTTAGTCTGTCGTGGCTTATGTACGGCAGTTCACGGGGCTTATTCTGTAGGTAAAAATTTCCAGAACCAAAAACGTACCGTGATTTCTGTTACAGTAGCTTCATACACATCGTTAATCATTATAGCTATTTCTGCAGCGCTGGTGCCACGGTGGAACTCGTATTCGTAAATAACGCGATATTTTAAGTTTTCCATATTGTAAACAGAATGATGTCAAAGAAAATCAAATGGCGCGAAAACAAATTAATCACTAAATTCGAAACACAAATAGTACACAAGCCTATATTTATATATGTACCTAAATAAAGCATATATCAATTGTTTGTTAAATCTTCTTAAATTTTATTCTATTATACAAAAAATAATAAAAAAAGTATTTTCTATTCGTGTACAAATATTAAAGTTCGTAAGCACATCTAATCTGCCAGACAACAAAATAAAAAACTAAAATTTAAAACATTTTTTTAAATGTGACTCATAAAATAACCCCGTATATTACTTATATTTAATATTACTTACATTTACTTTAAACAAGTTTCAAACTTTAAACTATTATTGACTTAAACTACTAGATAAATACTAGATAGGTATAACATAAAACAGAATGAATAAATTTATAGTAGATTTTATTAGGTATCTATTCTAAATGAAAACCTCCGTTTAGTTATTTTTTACATTTATTATTTTTTAAATATTTATTTTTCCATTTTTAGTGTACCTAGACGTAACAAGCAGGTAATTTTTAATAACATATTCGATTAAACAATTTATTTAAAAAATATATTTATTATTGATTTTTTTAAAAACTACTCGACGGATTTCGATAAAATTTATATGGGAACACCTGGGAAGTATATATACCCTTTGAAACAAAAAAATTCCAAATCGGTTCAGACGTCTTCGAGTAATCGGTGAACATACATAAAAAAGAAGATTCGAACCTCCTCCTTTTGGGAAGTCGGTTAAAAAAGATATATTATATATCAATTCTTTTATCATTAATTTTATTGAGGAATAATGTTGATGCAGGAAGTAAATCCACACTAATTTAAATCCATACTAATATTATAAATGTGAAAGTTTGCGCGGATGGATGGATGGATGTTTGTTAATCTTTCATGACAGAACGGCTGAACGTATTTGGATGAAATTTGGCACAAAAATAGATTATAGTCTGGAATAGCACATAAGATACTTTTTATCCCGACAAAATGTACGGTTCCCGTGGTATAGATTTGTTTTTGTCTAGGGACGAACCCAAAGCGAAGCGAGGTTGAGTCGCTAGTGTACAATATTCGTAGATATTTTATATTCAATGATACCTACTAGAAATTGAAAAACCAACCAGTATTATTAATTTAATTATAAATTTTAAGAACCATATTGCCGTATTATATAAAATTTTCCGTTTGAGCTCCCATGACAGATTATATCGACAAATAATTATTATTTTATTCAAAATTACCGCTCAATCTCATTCGTGTCTTTCTCACAAAACGTGACACTGGCAGAATGTATTACGTCTGTTAACGCAACTATAAACCATTAAAGAAAAAAAATATACAAGCAATATTAATGAAATAAAAAAAGATCGTTTTTAAAGTTATTAAAACATTAATTAGAAACATACTAAGTAATAGCTCCTCGCACATTATAACTTTTTAAGATATATAATATTTATACATAAAGAAAGAGTCTTGTATGTTTTAATAAAAATATTTTTTTCTGAAAATTTTTTTAGATCTAAAATCTCTTTTCCAACCTAGGCAATTTCCCGTTTAACTTTTTTGCTATGGTTTGCTTAGGCAATTTTTCATAGGCGTGGTTCAAGGAAGCAATCTTAAGATTTCTAAAGTAGTTTTTATTGGTAATAAAAAAGAAATAAGTACTTTTTCTGCTAACCAGTAATCAAGTTGTGCGCCTGACAGTAGTTGGTTTGTAAATCAACTTATGACTTATTCACTAAGATTATATATACAGACTAGCACGAAAATAAAACCTATATAAATGTTCATTGTCTTTCTTACTACTTACAGTGTTATATTGTTATTTCTATACTAATATTATAAAGAGGTAAAGTTTGTGAGTTAGTGAGATCGTGAGTTTGTGACGTTGTAGGAGGTAATCTCTGGATCTACTGAACCGATTTTTATGCCGGAAATCATCCCTTAAAGGGATGCAAAATGGGGATGAAAGTTTATATGGGGAATTAAGCTAGGGACGAACAAGAGCTAAGCGAGGGTAGTTGACCTAAATCTGTGTTGTTATTGCAGATATAATATTTATTAAGGAATTTTCTAACAGTAAACATTCTCGAACTGATCAAACAAAAAATAACCAATCAATACTGGTAAAATCAATGGCAAAATTCTTGTCGTATAAACGCATTAACACATAATAGAAAATGAGTAAAAGAATTGTTTTTACATTATATGTCAGGATTGTTTCCTTAGTCATATATTCATATTACTTAATAAATATATACATATTTGAGAATCATTATTTTTTCAGGTTTTTGCTCCCCTACAGCTATCTCGACGGCTGTGAACTAGACTCAGAGACTGTCTTCTCAAATGAATAAAATTATGATTATCAAAACAAAATACTACAACTTCATTCGGTGGCGAAATCATTATTATGTTTATAAAGAAACGACCTACAACGATGACATTTGTAAAATATGCGAAATCATGAAAAACAAGAATATGATGTCACAAGAAACGACATGGACAGATTTGATCTCTTAGTTGGACGGTCGATACAATTAAGATGTTTACATTTCCTAAGGGCCAATGTACACCTTAGAGAACGTGACCAAATTTTTACAATATTTACCAACCTAGACCCCCCCCAAACCCCACTCTCCTCCCCCCAATAACACCTCCCCCTTTTTACCTAGTAATTCATAAAATATATTCTTTTAAATCATTTTTTGCAAACAGGAAGTTAAAAAAATAATAATTTGTCTCATATTTTTCTTTATTAATACGGGGCTTGCCGACGCCACGAGTGAGTTATATAACTCGAAAAAGCGCGAGATTTCCTTATAAAGATATTGAGTACGTGACGAAGACCTAAGACCTCCCAGGCTCCCTCCCGCCCCTGTGAACAAGCGTGGTATTTCGAAGACCCCCTGAACGGCTCCCGTAGTAGAGGTACATTAAGGATCATGAAAGTATATCGTCTGTGCATATATTACGTTGATAAATTTAAAAAAAATGCAGATTACTTGCAAATTGAGTATCGACTAACGATACAAACGCGTGGGAAGTATGCTGTCAGCGCGTTAAAAGTCGTCATGTGTAAAGGCTTTAAAAGGCTATTAAATTAGAGATAGAGAGTTGATTTTTAACCGACTTCCGAAAAAGAGGAGGTTCTCAATTCGTCGGAATCTTTTTTTTAATGTATGTTCACCGATTACTCGAAGACGCCTGAACCGATTTGGATTTTTTTTTTCAAAGGGTATACTGCCCAGGTAGTCTCATATAAATTTTATCGAAATCGTTCAAGTGATTTTTTTTAAATCAACTAATAAATTATTTTTTAAATAAATTACTTAATCGAACATGTTAATTAATAAACTTTCTTCTAACAAATTACCTGCTTATTACGTCTACACTAAAAATTGACAAATAAAAACTTAAAAAAAAATCGACTTCCAGGCACTACAATGTAAATATTGTCGGCTGGCACCGACTTCGAAATTATCTGATTAGGTAGGTATCTATTCTAAATGAAAACCCCCGGTTAGTTATTTTTTACATTTTAGTGCCTGGAAGTCGGTTTTTATTATTTTTTTAACTCATTTGCTATAAAGCGGTACTTAGATCTAAGCATATAGGATTTCCTTTAAAATATGAATGATTAATTTTAAATATATAGTAAAACATTATTATAATTTATGTCTGTATACTGAGTTATGGATACCGCTAATTATATTTTGTTATATATCAGATTTTCTTCATACATTTAAGTTCAAATCAATTATAATAATAGGGTTTTCAAGGGATTTGATATGATATTGTAATGGTTAAAGTAACCTAATATTTTCAATGTTTGTGCAAATATTATATTCTTTATATCACTAAAAATGGTAAAAATAGATATTTCATTAAAAAGAAGTAGAAGACAAAAGTGGACTTATCTCTAAAGAGATAAATAACTTCAAGACTCTCGATAGTTTGACT